AATCTCTAAAACGTGGTGTATTCAGAATCCATGTTTTGTGGGTCATTGATTCCGAAAAATCGATTGATGGTCAAATGTCCATCCGTCCGTCCGTCTGTGAACATCACTAGCGCTTAAACCATACATACGATCTTTTCCAAAATTGATATTCCCCGGTCGATGTAGCTCGATTCGAAGATTTGCGATTTTAAAAACCTTCTTTAAGATTTGGCGGTACTTTACACGGAACCATGCGACATTTTCAAAATTTTACCAATATGGCCCCAATGACTTCAAACTTTTTCTTCACGTTTTTTAAAGAATTAAGAAAAATCAGTTATAAAGATGGCATATTGATTCTTTTTCACTGTTAACTATGATTTTTGGAAAATTTCTAAAGATTGTAACTTTTCCGGCTTATTCCTAATATTACAAAATTGAAGATGGAGATTTTTACTTCAAGTATAATTTTTTCTCAATACTTAGTTCTTTCATTAAGTTCATGTACATAATGTAGACAATTGTAGTAGTTTTCGCACAATTTTCCACGCAATATAGCATTTTATCTTATTTATGTAATTAGCTGTATTATCTTATTTATGTAATTAGCTGCCACCGGGTTATGCCCATTTGCAGTTCAAATAAATTTATCTTTATCTTTAATATTTAAAAACAACAAAAACAAAATTTTCTCGAAAACGGCTCCACGTTTTTCCTTTACAATTTTGGTAGGGATAGTACTCTAAGCTAATGCCATTGAGCTCTATTGTTTTGTATTTTTCAAAAATTACAAAAAAATCGTTTTTTTACTTGTTTCTCACGTTGCTAATATTTTTATTAGCTGTGATTCGATTATTGAATATATGAGTACATCTGCTGTAAATTTGTCTGTCTTACAAAGTTTCTCTAAAACTGACGTTTTCTGTGAAAATGAGCTCAAAATTTCGCGTTTTCAGAAATGCTCAAACGCCATTATCAAAAAAAACAATTTTTTCTTCAAATTTTTCGTACATATAGTGCTAGTGTCACTGTTTAAGATGTCATAAAAGCCATTTTTCTGTTTTCCTACGTTTTTTCTTAAAAAGTTACACATATTTAAAAAAATATTTCTTAAGACTTTAATATGCAAATTTCTAGCGATTTGTATACATTACTGAATTTGTGAGTGGAAGTGCTTAATATAACTTTCAATAATGTTTTTCGAAAACTCGAGCTTCAAATTTCGCATTTACAGTAATGCTTATACAACATTTTCTTTAGAACGGCTCCAGAGTTTTCAACGAAAATATCCATTAGGTCGAGTGTTTACAGTTCTTTAATATTCTTGAAATAATATTTCGATTCTACTATGTATTCTACTGCGACGGGAAAAAGTAGTTTGGGCGGTGATAGGTGATAGTCAAGATAATGGGGTGAGAACGAAATGGCCCGGAACACAGACCAAATAAATTTGAATACTGCCTATTAGAAAGTCTGTGCCATTCTGTAGCATCATTAGAACTATAGTTCTCAAATTCACTTATCACACCAAGAGGAATTCAGTAAAATGCGTAAAAAAATTATAAATTCCCTAGTAAATAGGAATGAGTGAAATTCATAGCCTATTGTACACCATTATGTGCATTTTAAAATTTATAATATTATTACTTATTACTTTTAGCTTCAAGTGTGTCCTAAAATTTGTGGTCACATTGTAGGAACCACTTATTTTCTGTTTTGCAGGCTTAGAAATTTCAAATGAAGAATCCACTTTTGCATCTAACTCATCAATAACAGTGAGATATGATTAATATAGAATCCATTTTGATGATTTTTCAATTTCCACACTCACACCGTGAGATTAGCTCTTTAGACGGCGCAAGTACGAGCTTTTAACCAGTGCTACCACCTTCCAGATGGTGATGCATAATGTGACAATACAATATAACGTATGGAAAGTGATCTCGAAGTGTCTCCGGAAATAAATTTTCTTCAATTAACCAAATTAATCAAAATTTAGATTATCAAAATATTCTTTTAAATACTGCAGTGAATGCAAAATCGCTTCGAATAAAAAAATCGTGGTATCGACCTTTGTGTTTTCCAGGTTTCTATGTTTAAAGTCAAATTTTCAACAGCGGATCAATAAAAAGTGTTTCTGTGTTTTGAAAATACAGAATACCATCTGAAAGAATTTTAGATACAAATACAAAATACACGTTTAAATATGTATTTTCGATTCAAAATCAAATTACAAAATACAATTACTTGCATTTAAAATAAGTATTTTCGGTACAGCCCAACTCTGGCTGCATGTAATGTGCTTTCGGCTATAAGTTTCGTTCATAACACTCGAAAACGTTTAAGTCTATTTATGACCTGGTCCAATCTTGTTGGTGCGCCACATGAAAACAGCGCAAGTAATGAGTAAATGTGATTGAGACAGTGTTGAGTCGATCTCTGATTGCGAATATTACTGTGAAAATCAGTTCGTAACACTGGCATTCCCAACGGTTAGAGTCCATCTAGGAAATTGGGCAAAATATCTGTTTACAAATCTGAGACGTAAGACCCAAACACATCAACTTTATATTCTTTATAGAACCCTGAAAAATAGATGACTTGGAAATTATTGCTTCTCAAGTTACCTCATGGTCTTCAGTACATCGCCAATGGTTCAAAAATTGCCACATGTTGAATATATCGCCATTGTATTGAAGTTACGTATGAGTCATATGAAGAGATAATGACGTTAATTAGAACCACATCTAAAATGTGGTGTGCATGTACTTCATACGAATATGACTGGTGACATGGAACGTGTCATGTATTAAGGTACTATGTCAAGTTAATTTAATATTTTCACATGGCTCCTATGAATTGCTTTATCGATTAATTTAATGTCAAACAATAGAAGTTCATTTCCTGCCTCGTAATATTTTCCCAACATTTTATTGAAATCAAATAAAACTATAGGAATCATAAGCTCTTCATATTTGCTTGTAACGTATATTTACTTTATGTTCATTTAAGAATTAGCATGTGTAACAAGTTTGTAATGGACGGGCTACTTTCATTCTAGTTTCATGTTAGGTACAGTTTATTTTTTGTTTAATTTATTGTAGTTCCATCACACTACTCAGAAAACGTGGATTTAGAATGAAAATTCAAAAATTCACTTTCAAGTGGGATATTGGCACACGTCTCTAGTGGTTAAGTAATACCTCTGACTGCTTGGGCTTCATACTTTGGAAGGAATACTATCTATAATGAGCACGATTTTCTATAATACACGCAGTCAAGCAAACGCTCGTAAATTATATACTGTTGAATAGGGAACTATCCTCCGGGGTTGCATCATACGTCCAAAAGGAATTTTAAAGGTTATGCCGCCGAGAAAATGGGAGACACAAGAACAATAAGCAAAACACGCTTCAGTGAAACACAAGGTTCCAGCTGGCAGAACTCAAAAATGTTACGTTCAAGGACCATAAAATCCCCGTCTATGGGACTCCAATGAGAGCTCGATTAATATTTAATCTAAAGTATCTAATCTAAAGTATGAGACGCCCATGCACAATGATATAATTTTGTCAAACACTCAATCACAAGAGTGCAGATTAGTGATACCACGTATTCTGAAACATGTACTAAAACTGTTACACAACGAAAATCGCCATATAGGACGAACCGAAAAATTGTGAAAACGATGTACTTTGCGATAGAAAGCAGCTTGAAAGAGGTGTGGCAAGTCAGAATAGCTAGCCCAAACTAAAGAAAATAGAAAACTAAAGCGAGAATGTCTGTGCCATTATCTAGCACCACTAGTTCGTCTGTTTGTTCAGTCAGTTTTCTACTAATTTTACTGGATTATTTGTATTTCTTGTATGTTGATCATGCTGATCATATAAAATCAGTTGCTACTATAATGATGTAGATCTTATTAATTTCAATGCTACTTAAAACTTAGAAATAAAAATTTAAAGATAGATTTGAAGGAATAATACTAGAGGTTCACGAGTCGTAATTAGGAACATTCTTGTGGAGGCAACAGTGCAGGGAGTGCGATATAGCCCTACAAGAGGAGACAGCTACTGAGAAACTGGTAATATTATGAACTTAAAACTATCATACTTTCTAGATTTATCGCATCATCTGAGTCATTTGTTTCGAACTCAAATTATGGTAATAATACAAAAAACCTTAAAGATATAATAATAAAATGTAAATGAGATATAATTATTAAAGATACCAATAATTACGCATATTTGTTAACATGAGTAATTCGCATTCCGCGTGCGTAGAGACATTTTGTATGGACATGTGTTTTAAGGTGTGTCTTTAGGCTGGGAGTACTAAAGCGAACTTTCGTAATGCGGATCACTTACGAAATGTCTCAAATTCTTGTTCTTGTACTCGAATGCACACATACTTTATACTTCAACGCGTGAATGTATATCAATCTACATTACAAAAAACGACACTTAAGATTTGGATAAATTATGTAAATATACTTTGTATTACTGTTGGACTCGTAAACAATAAATGTAGTGACAGTACCTGCGGCAACTGCATCAGAAGTGGCCATTTCAAGCATACAATTTGAAGAAAAAGCAACAACAAAGGGAGAATTTCTATTCGCTTCAAACACTCATAACCTGGAGATTATTCCTTCTAGTGATGTGTCTAAATGTTATTTCTTTCTCCTTATGTTACAATTAAAGATAATCTAAAACACCTCACTAATTTTGGCATTGCAGTAAAAAAACATGCCCCGGAACTCTTTTGGGATTTCTTTACGGGATGGCAGAATATCAATTGGCCATCACGGCCAAAATTTTGCCATTTTCAAGTGGCCCACTCCTTTCTGCTGTGCTGTGGTGCTCGGGGGAGGGGAGAGCTCAGAAGGCGGAGATGGACGCGGCATGACATGTGGGCGTGGTCATACGTAGGCGGGGCTGTCAAGCGCGTAGCGAATCGGGGATCGTCGCCTTAATAAAGCGCTTCAGTCAGCAATAGTGTCGAGCAATTAAAAGTGGAGTGTTGCGTTGAGCAGCAGTAATTTGCAGTGACAGGGAGGGCGTGATATCAACTAACATCAACTACGTACATCAACTAACGGGACAACTACCTTTACGACACAATTTCGCGAAGGGCAGGATATTTCAATAAATCTGCAGTGAACTGAAAGGTAATAATCACCGTAGTATCTAGAATATGTGATAATGCTTCGGCGAGAAAAGGCGATATTTCGAGAGAAATACTCTTGAAGTATGTCTCTGATACTGAAAATGTTAATATTTCTTGCTCCTAATTATATAAGTAACTTCTTCTTACATTTTGTGTAGCCATAATCCACGTTTTGTAGGTCCTAGTTTCCAGAAAATTTGTTTACGACAAAAACTTTTCTTTGTCTGTCTTTCTATCGTCTGTAAACAACGCTAGTGGCTAATCCGTAAGCACGGTTTACAACAAAATTGAAATTATCCGATCGACCTTGCGGTTCCTTGAATTTGAAACGAATATTATGACTTTGTGGGAACCTTTATATGAAGCATCAACAACATTTTAAATCTTTTCTAAAATATGGCTAAACATTTTTGTATTATTTTATCAGGAAAAACCAAAGTATACCTATAAAAATGGTGAAACTCCGATGTTTTCAATTCTCTGAATTTTCAAAAACTGGAAAATATAATTTTTAATAGTTTCTGCTACTACAGTATTGAAAACAGATTTTTAGTGCAATATTTTCTTTATGTAGATATTTACGTCACAATAGGCGTAATGTTTTCAAAATATGAGTAGTTAACGTGCGTGAATTAAAGGTTTTTTTTTTAATTCTAAAAAACCTGGTCCAATTTTTATCTTTCATTTTTCTCAGATATTTTCTGGAAACTCAATAAGCACAATATGCTTATTAAACGCGTGCAAATACGATTTTCGTGGAACTCGATTCTCGAAAATTGTAATGTAGAGTTTCTTTGCTCTGAATTTTCGAAAACCGCAGAAGTTGCCAATAATGCCAAAAAGTATCTGTAGTTGTAACATCAGTAGTTTATTTAGTGAAATGCGTCTGACACCCCTTAATGCGATATTGTTCAAACTCTTTGTTGAGTATGTTTTTAGATATTAGAACAGATAATCAACAGAATATTGCAGATTTTTTACTTCCTCAAATAGGTACGTATATATGGAGTAATTACTGCTTATTTGCGTCACAGTTTTATTCTAACTCTGATTAAATGTTGTGACCATCTATAATTTTTCGTTCAGCCAGATATAGACATCACTTCATAATCCTTTGTAATCTGGTACTTGACGGTATTCCTACTTTTATTCTTAAGTATCGTCCACCAGAATTCAGTTGGTTCTCAAAGAGGGCAAAATCTAACCCTGGTGCAGCGCCCCTCCCCCCTACCAACAGCTGCATGCACAGCTGCCGTGAGGACACCATCACCAACTGCACAGACACGCCAACACAGCCTCCCCATTCGCAGACCGTTAGGAATGTCATGGAGGCACTCGTGTGAGCAGAGTGAAATGCCCTAGTGATGGGAGGTGAATGGTGAACACCTATGCCGCACAAATAATAAAATGAAAATGAAAGTGGAGTGTCAGTGATGCCATGCCTCTAACATTAGCGCCAGCTCCCAAAGGTGCTCTCAAGATTTTCTGTCATGTATCCTATACATTGTTATTGAGTGAAGTGTTACCTACCACACTGTAACTTGTTAATCGCGCTATCCGGCATTTACTGTAGTTCTGTTTTGTATTGTCATGAATTGCCCTGTTTCTTGTAACCGTAATTGTGTTATATCTTATTATGTTGTTTTTTTCATGTAGGGTAGTGGGTTGAAATTTAGTTGTCTGACACCTAAAATTGCGTTATACCTTGCCTGAATAGCAGCATAACTGTTTTAGTGATATTGTAAGTAAATTCTTGGCTATCCGGGAGACGCCGCGTCGTTGTCTGAGAGGACGACGTTTCGCCTGGCATGTCCCAGGCTTCCACAGGGCAGTTATTAATTTTCGAAAATTCGGAGAGTTCAACGAAAATAAGGCGCGTACTATTCTTATAAGCGACCGTTCTTCTATCACTGGTAAAAATTTAACGAAAAAATTTGTGTTATTAGGGTTATTGAGCAAATATTATTTTTAAAATTGCATAAATTTTATGCGCAAATCACGCGAAAACTACTTTTTTTCAAAAACATTCTAATTACCATTTGTAAAGAGATGATTTCAACAGAATTTATCGGTTCGTGTATTTAATGAACCTAATAAATGAGGGATGGGGGTGATGAAGCAATGCATTAATGATTGAGAATTATATATAATTGCAATATTATTGCAATTTAATAACCAACTTTTAATTTCTTCTGCCTCTTTCGCTGAATCAGACCCCTCCACCCTGCGCTGTTCTCGGCCGCGAGGGCGACTGCTTCCGGCACTCAGAGAATGTCTGCGCCGTGCGGCCCTCCCTTCTCGGAAAGTCTCCCCTCGGACGACGGTATCGGGGTCGGGGCGAGGGTCACCGGCACGGGGAGCCAACTTAGCCAGGCCGCCGGGCGAGACGCAGAGAATGCAGTGAAGATGCGTCATTTGTGATGATGATGATGATGATTGTTGGCCAATGAGGCGCGCAGTTATCTTCAAAAGCATTCTATCTCGAGTTCGGCGTGGACTGGAGGGGACGGGAATCGTGACCGGGTGGGCGAGCATGATTTCTAGTGGAGAGTTGTAAACGTTAACCTGGACCCTGAGTTTCACGGCTGTACTCTCGTCGTTAGCATAACGGTGATTGCAGAGATGTAGGTGTTGCAGAAGAGTTCGTGTTGCCTTGTTTGCCCGGTAACCCACCAGTTGGGCCCCTGGCGCGTCGACGTTTGGGCGGGATTGGGCGAAGGACGTTCTTCGGAAGGCTCCCACATATAGCAGACTAGATGGGGAACATGAACCCCTCTGTCGGGTCGCCAAGGTTCCGGTGATATTCGTATCGATAGCATTGAGGTGATTGCAGTGAGGGTTAGGTGTTAGTGATGTTCTTAGACGAAGGGAGAGACAGACGGACGGACGGACGGACGGACGGACGGTAGTTTTGCAAAAAAAAAAAAAATTATGGTATCAGAGGAACTCTAAAAGCCGCTGTATTTCCGTTTGAAATGTACGAAATCCATTTTTCGTCGGCATTAGACACTTTCTCTGTATTATATATTACTCATATATATATAATATAAATATATTATATTAATATAATATATAATATATATTATATAGTGCAGTAAATGCTTCTACACTGCCACGCGGGAGCGCAAGGGAGGAGCAACGAACTTGACAATAAAAGACCACGGTTGTATGAAGAGGAAAAAAGCGACAGGAATTTGTACAGATATTCTAACTCGGCAGGGGACGCGGCAAGGATGGCTCGCCGAAAACCGCAACAATGAACTTAGGAAAAGCGGCTCTACCGGCCAGGGAAGGTATGCCCAGTGGGAAGGAGGAAAGGGAACGACCCAAGGTCGTTTATCGCGAGGAATGTCGGGAGACCAGCGCGCGAAACTATAATAGCCTTAAAATTTCCCAGAAACAGGAACGGAAGAGCTAAGAAACCAGTGTATTTGTTCTATTACGTAGGCAGTACGAGCGACAATTAAGAATGAGAAATGACTAGCAAGAAATTAAGTCAATGTGATAAGTCTCAGGATATGAGGCCGCATAGCGAATACAGACAATTCTAAGAACATTTATATAAATCCAATTTGGGACATATCAATCTTCCTGCGCAATAAAAATAAATTCAAGTAAATGATTCAGCAACAGCTGTAGTGCAATATTTTTCTGGACCGTCCATACAGTAAGATCATATGAAGGGGAAGTATTTAAAATCCAAACCCCAAAAACTTCCAACCCAGATGGCTGAATTTAGACAACCTCTCAACCCTGCGACTGAAGTTATAATTAGCGGCAATTCTAAGCACATGAATAATAAGCAAGGGCAGTGTGGCGCGACCGCATTCCAACCAAAATTCATGTCGAATTGTGACACATTAAGACCCAGAAAGTATTATGAGGAAGTTGACTTTAAATGCAATTGCCTGATTCCGCATCGTATCCAGAAACGTGGAGTCTACAAAGCTACCTCAACCGACTTTTTAAAAATAAAGCGATGCGAATTGCCCACAAATGATATCGCGGAATTAGTCTTTTGCCACGCTGAGCAAATGTTCTGTAAAATTACTCAACGGGCGACTGAGTGGAATGGGCGTAAAAGTACGGTAAAATATCAGAAATGCAGCATGGGCTTTAGGAGAGCTACGCGACAACCGACAATATATATTTGTGTTAACGAATACCCTAGTAAACAGCGCTGGCGCGGTAAAACGGCAGCCACTTATATTGCAGTTTTTATATTTCCGAAAAGGCTCTTTGACTCTATTAATAGGGATGCTTTTATGGCGAAAAACTAAAGAGCTAGGCGTCTCACTAAATTTAAAGTATTGCAGAGTATGTATACAGGAAGTAATTTCTGCGTAGGTCGGTGACGGAAGTATTAACCGCAAAAAATAAAATCGAAATAGGAGTCAGCAGGCGGTGTCCTCCTTTCACCGCTGCTATTATCTTGTTTATCACGATTTATTGCGTGGGTAAGGAAGCGGATAACAGCGGCC